TCTACGACGACGGCTACCGCTACTGCTACTGCTACTTCTACTGGTACTGGTACTGATACTGCTAGTGCGATTCCCCGCACTGCTTCTCGTACTACCACTACCACTACTACTACTACTACTGCTACTACTACTTACTACTTGTAGGAGTACTACTACTGGTACTGTTACTGTTACTACGACGATTCCTACTTCTACGATATCTAGAGCCACTACTACTACACCTCGAACTACTCATGTCACCACTCCATCTACAACACCTATACCTGCTACTACTACTACTACTACTACTACTACTACTACTACTACTACTACTACTACGACTACTACTACTACTACTACTACTACTACTCATACTGCTACTCCTCCTACTACGAAACTATACTCTACTACTACTACTACTACTACTACTACTACTACTACTACTACTACTACTACCAGTACTCCTACTACTACTTCTATTATTACTACTACTACAATACAACTACCACTACTATTACCGCCACTACTACTCCAGCGAAGCATGCCGACCGTGGTGTGCTTCAGGCGTGTCTCCGCGTGCCCTCGCCCATAGCCCCTGTGTCTTCTTCCTCCTGCCTCTTCTTCTATCTTCCTACATCTATCTTGTTGAGGGAGCCGAAGAGGAGGAAGAGGAGGAGGGAGAGAAGGCGATGGGAGGCAAAACAGAAGGCGGTCGTCCTCGAGTCCTACACGTACCCGACTCTGACGACTCACACGACGGCGACCTCTCAGACGATGATGGCGGCGACGACGACGACGACGACGACCACGCTTACGATGACAACGACGACTTCGACGACGACGATTCAATGGACGACGGCGTCGACGATCCAGCGATCTTTCCCGTCCAGTTCTGCAGTGCGCACGCGGCACAAGTCACTACCCTGCTCAGGCACGCAGCTCTGAGCTGCACCTGAAAGGCAGGCTCGCCCATCAAGTCGGGCGCGGGCAGCAGGCGGCAGGTTAGGAGGGAGAGGGGGAAGAGGAGCACAAGGGGAAACTCGCCTCCAAGATCGGCCCCCTCGAACAGATCTGAGGAATCACGGAACTCAGAGTGTGCACGTCCTGGACCAGAATGCAGGTGGATGTGAGTAGTTGGGGCCCCTCGCCCTGGTGCGAGTCGTTCGGGCCCCTCCTTGTGCGTGTCGTTCGGGCCCCTCGCCGAACGACTCACACATCGAGGAGGGGCCCGAACGACTCCGACCAGGAGGGGGGACCCGAACGACTCACACCAGGGGGAGAGCACCGAAAGAATCCACTGCATCGTGGTAGCGGCCACACCCACGGATAAAACTGCCTGATCTCCCAGTGTGGCACAGTAGCGATACCACCCATTACTGATGCAGCGGTGTATCAGAAGGTACTCCCAGTACTGGACGAGAGGCCATGCACCATCTCAGCCCACTGCCGGACACCCGAAGGCACCCAGCAATCACCAAGACTAAGAAGCAATAGCGGCGAGTACAGTAACAAGCACCATCACCTCAGCAGAATAACCAGCACCATTACAGAGTATAGAAACCAGCGCCAGAGAACCCACGAACGACAGCTCAGTTGAGGCAACATCCCGTGTCCCGACTCGCTCTACCCAGACTCATAGTGGTAAGTAGTGCACTCGACAGTCGTGCAATACAGAGTATACACCATCTGAGCCCAATGCCGTACGTGTTCCTCCAACAAAGTCATACGGGCGTCCAGAAACGCGTGGCTCTCTTGCCTAGTAGGTGCAGGACTGAACCATCACTGAGCACAGAAACCCGCACTCTCACCAGAACAGGGTCACCAGCACCATCACAGAGTACACTAATCAGCACCAGAGAACCCAAGTACGGGGTTCAGCCGAGTGGAGTACAAGCCCCACTAGCAAGCTGCTTCCTTTAGTACAGCCCACCTGAAGCGCCACTGACAATGAGTAGAGGCGCGTATGTTTTCGCACAGGCCTTCGACCCTGGTCGACTCGGTCGCAGAGCAGGCTGCGGTGCTCAAGCGCTCAGGCAGCGCCGCAGCGAGAAATCTCAGCGATCGGTGCCACAATGGCTACGGAAAACCGCGAGGGAATCGCAATGTCACGGGGGAAGGGAGAAAAAACCCTGCCCTCTTCTTTGGAGACACACTCATTGATTTTACTGCGATTTGGGACCCACTTTCGCCTTCTGAGGGGGCAGCGCCCATGAAAACCCCCCTCGTCCTTCAAGGCAACATCATTCATTTCACGAAGGTTTTGGGCCCCATTTCCTCTTCTGACGGGAAGAGACTCCAAGATGGCCCCAAGAGGCCCCAAGGAGACCCCCAAGAGGCCCCCAAGAGGCCCCCAAGATGCCGCGAAGAGCTCTCCAAGATGCCCCCAGAGGCTCCCCCGAGGCACCCAAGACGCTCCTGGAAGCCCCTGGGGCCGCCAAGAGGCCCCCAAGACGCCCCAAACGCCCTCCAAGAGGCTCCCAAGAGGCCCGAAGAGGCCCCCCCAAGCCACCCAAGACGCTCC